TATGGGTGGGGGGGGGGGGGCGCAGTTTTGGCCAAGCTCATTGTTAATTCATATATATCACTTCAAGCAGATGTTTCATAGATTTAGAAAATGGTTTTAAAGTGAGTTTTGCTTGTATGTCTTTTACTTACCAAAGAATAATTGTAATTCCTATAAGGAAGATATTGCAAAGATGAAGGTTCAGGAAGTTTCTTAGATAACATCTGTCTGCGAATGGATACACCTCGCTCCTGAGTTTCCATCATGGTTTCCAGTTTGTATGCAGGAATATGCTTAGCATTAACTAAGCTGATTACCTCAGCATCAGTAAGGAATTTTGCTCCCTTCTGGAAATGTAAAGGGGGGGGAGGAGAAAGTATAGATTCTCTTGGTGAAAATCCTTTTAAATGTTTCCAAATGAAAAAGGGTAACAACTTTACTTTGACAATATCAGAGAACATCTAAAGGAACCAACTGCCAATGTCACGTTTTATAGTAGGACAGGATATGATAAAAAAATTTTTACTCAGACACCAACTTATATACATACATGATGAAGCTTCAGTTACTTGGCATATCATGAATGATAAAGCTCCCCCATCTTGGGGATAGATGGACACTCATAATAAAAATTTATTTCTTTACAACTTCAAAAACATACACCTATCTGTTTTTCTCATCTGTATTGAAGAAAAAAACGCAACAGAAACTGTCTGGAGCAGAAGTGACTTATGAAAGGGTGTTGTTTTGTTTCTCCCCCTTTGTTTTGGTCTTCCCCCCTCTACCCCCCCAAGTTATTAAAGCCATATAATTCTCTGAAGAGTGACATTACTATCAGTAGGATCATTTAAAAGCTGGAAAATGAACTGTAAGAATTTTTAAATCAGATGTTACAGTAGAGGTTAAAAAAAGTTATTTTTCCATACCTCTGCATTTCCAAGTATACAAACACATTCCGCAATAGAACGTGGTTCTTTAGGTAAATCAACTTCTTCCTCTTTTCTATTAAGAAATGAAGAAGTTTCCACAGGGTTGCAACTGCCAACTACAAATGTAGCCATGGTTGATGACTCGGCTAATACAGGTTTTATTACTTCAGCTGCATAAAGACAATTAAAATGAACTTTGGTTTACAAAAATCTTAAATTTTGATTCCAAATACAACACGCTAACACAGATTTCATTATTTGTTCCAAATATTCAGGAATAGATTCAGACTTTAAAATGCCAAAAAATACCATTTCCATCTTTGGGATCTAAAGCGTCTTCTACTGTGTTAGATATCTGATTCTTTTTCAGAGGTCCAGATTGCTTCCTGCAACAGTTCTCAGGGACTTTTTTCTGGACCATCACTGGAGATGCTATAGGATTTTTCAGTGAGAGTGTGGATTCAGTCTCTGCTTGCTCAAAGAAAATATATTTGACAGCAAGGAGAAGGGCTAATCCAAGAGTGATTACTTGTTCAATATCCATACTGGCCATTCTAAAAAAGACAAATGAAGAAGTAAATACACAGTATATACAATTTGTTTGTTTATAACAACATTCTGAAATTCCTTTACTTTAGAAAGGGTAATAGTTTGATCATCATTCATACAGTTACTGAAATTCCTGTCAAGTATGCTAGGTTAGGGTAGAGAAACCATTCTTTGTATTAAGAATTTTTAGATTTCATTAACTATTTTCTAAATCTTAGTTAAAAAGCAGTTCCAGTAAGAGAAATGACTGGAAAATATTCACTATTAAACAGCTACATCAAGTTGATTTAACACTTATCTCCCAACGATAAAGTAGAAAGTTTCAATCATCATCTTCTACCAATAATGAGTACTATGATGCAAGTTGAACTGCTGGGGGGGGACGGACCTAAGAGACAGTTATGAGTTCTCAGAAGTAACATACAACCACAGCTGCCACTAACTTCAGTTGAGCTGAAGGCAAATGACACTGCTTTTGCACTTGTATGTGAATGGTCAGAAGCTCTGCATAAATAATTACTCTAGTGCAGTCAAAAAATTTATTTTCCATTGTGCTCTGAAAGGTGTCAGTGCTAATAGGAAAAGAATAGCGTTATGATATATACAGGACAGCTGGCTCCTGATCATGTTCTTATTACTTCAATGACATGGAACAAACAGCATAATATTGAAATATTTCTTATGAAATGACATCTCCGGTTCCAAGAAATCCTACAGTGGTCAGATCTGCAAGTTTACAAGTGTTGTACCCTAGAGACCATAGCTTGGCAGCACTGGAGAATAGACCCTAATCAAGAAAATACACTTCTCTTCTGTGAAGTTGCCTACCGAGAAATGTAGAACTGCCATAACGAAACATTAGGTTCAATTCTCTTCGGTGCATTCTCATCCAATCCCACTGCATTTTCTACAGTACTGTTTTGAGCAGCTGGTTCAACTATCCAGCGACTGTGGGCATGAACAAGAACCAGACCCAGCGACTGTATTAAAAACACAAAACAAATATTAAGTTTTCAGCTGTAACTAGGTATCTAACCTAGTAAAAATAAACTTTTGGGGTTTTTGTTCATTTGTTTTGTTTCCCATGCCTCAAAAGTCTAAAGCTAAAGGCTGATTTTCCACATCTCTCAACACCATTTTTGGCCTATCATAACACTCATAGCTTTGAACCTGTCCCACCACATCCTTCCTCTTGGCTCAAGTAATAAGCAGAGGAAGCTGAGGGCACTACAGGGGTAAGAGGGAAAGAATTAGTACACATGAAAAAGCCATGAGTGTTTTGCACAGAAATGGCATATGCAGGAAAACTTTAGGTGTAAATACAGGGGACGTTATTAAAAATTACCATGGTAAACTAGGCTAATGGGATACAGAACACAAGTCTATGGAAAACAAAAGCTTTATTCATTGCACCAGGACATCTTACTGATTGCATAAATACAGGTGAAGAAAAAGCCACAAACCATAATAATTTTGACCCTCTGTGTTACAGGATTTGGTTTATTTTCTTCTTCTTCCAGAACACGAGCAAAATGGCTAAGCTGCCATATATTTTTCTTCAAAAACACGAGAAAAATGGCTAACCTGCCATATAGGACGCCCTTCACGACTCTCTCTCGAAAGCTGCAAAAATAGGACCTATTTTTTAATTTAGTGGTTTTGTACATATTAGAATAACCAACAAGTGAGACTTTTTTTACTGTATTTTTATTTGATCATTAAGAAGTTACCAACAAAAGAGTTAGCCTACAGTCTACTGGTTAGCCTACGTTAGACTTTAGTGAAAAACCCTAGACAGCCATTAACTTAAACCAGAATTTGTTTACTCTGCTTTAGATCAGAACTCATACTATTGAGCGTGACTCATTTACAGTGGCATTAACAAGTTACTGTCTACCAGCTGAGCCACCATAACTGTGCATTCCCTCTCTTCACCTCGAGAGGAATACAAACAAGCTGGTGTATACGTCAGTGAAGAAATGCATAGCCTACGAGAAGCACAGGTTATGAACACTAAGCTGGATGTTGTCTTGAAGTTGGTCTTACCTCTAATACCAAGGACACACAAGCTGGAAAGAAGGTCATAAAGACAAAGTAGTTGGCAAGAACAGACATACAGCCAAAGCAGCACATAATTTCAAGTTGTCGTACACCTACATAACAAAAAAAAGTTTTTAACATTTGACTATACATCAGGCTTTCTATATACTTGAAGTGTTGCAGAAGAAAGAAACTATTAAACTGACACTGCAGACTACAGAAGGAACTGCAGAGGAGCCACTCTCCATGATATTGGAAAAGTCCTGGCAGTCAGGTAAAGTCCCTGCTGGCGACTGGAAAAAGGGAAACATTGCACCCAATTTTAAAAAGGGTAGCAGGGAGGACCCTGGGAACTACCAACCTATCAGCCTCACCTCTGTGCCTGGGAAGATCATGGAACAGATCCTCCCAGAAGCTATGCCAAGGCACATGGAGGACAGGGAGGTGATTCGAGACAGCCAGCATGGCTTCACCAAGGGCAAGTCCTGCCTGACCAACATAGTGGCCTTCTATGATGGAGTGACCACATCAGTGGGCAAGGGAAGAGCTGCAGATGTCGCCTCTCTGGACTTCTGTAAGGCCTTTGACACGGTCCCTCACAACATCCTTCTCTCTAAACTGGGGAGATATGGATTTGACGGGTGGCCTGTTGGGTGGATGAGGAATTGGTTGGATGGTCACATCCAGAGGGTAGTGGTCAATGGCTCAATGTCCAGATGGAGATCGGTGACGAGCAGTGTCCCTCAGGGGTCTGTGCTGGGACCAGTACTCTTTAATATCTTCATCAATGAGATAAGACAGTGAGTTTGAGTGCACCCTCAGCAAGTTTACAGGCGATACCAAGCCGAGTGGTGCAGTTGACATGCCTG